TCATAACACTGCCTACTTCTTGACACATCATCTTAATAAGGAAAGTATTCTTTCAAGAAAGGATCTCCCTTTCAGAATCCAGACCTGTACTGCACAAGCAGTACTCACTTCTCCTTACCCTTTGGGTTGCAAAGAGACCAGTCCACTTGTCAAAACCACATTACAACAAAATATTGGAGGGCCAGACTCACAGCAGGAGTCAACCATTTCAACCACACCACTATCCAATTCATCCCATAATTTAAACAATGATATCTCACAAGTTATATCCCCTAGCAAGCCTAAGGAAGATCCAAATGTTAATGCAGTGCCAGTGACCATAAAAACTCCTCAAAACACGTCAAATAAGAAAACTATACCCACTTTAACAGCCACTGATGGGCCTTCAGAGCAGAGCTTGCCATTCCCAATTCTAAAGATACCAAGTAGTGGAGCATCACCTGGGAAGGAAGGTAATGTTAGGGAGAAATTACAGTCTCCTGAAAGTCCATGTGGCTGTCATTTTTCAAAAAGAGAATCATCTACAAACATATTGGTTGAGCCTAGAAATGAAGGACATGATGTGCTTCATCTATCCCCAACAGATGATGAGAGACTTCATGCCAAAGCATGCTCTGCTCGAAGTCTAGAGGAGCAACACCAAAGTCACAAAATAGTTGATAAGCAGGAGATGATCAAATCCCATGTGGATTCTGCTGGTTCTGTCATCACAGAACAAAAGGAGTTATCTGAAAAGACAGTCAAAGCAAATGATATGCCAGGTTCCATAGTTCGAAGCATAGACAATGCAAAAGTAATGATCAAACAAGACAAAGATATCACTACAGGTTCACAAGTAATGGAAAAATTGCCTGCTTCAATACAGCTGGAGGATTGTGATGCCCCTGCTAAACCTAGAACTCGGGTGCCATTTAGGTTTCGGAACCTCTTTTCTGCCACATTTCCTACACGTATGAGGAGAGAGACTGATGAGCGTCAGGCTCAATTACGTAAGGTTAAACAATATGAAATGGAGTTCCTAGAGGAACTATTAAAACCACAAGGTAAGGTAAGCACCCAACGCAAAGAAATTTCTCACCCATTAGTGCCTGGTCGTTGTTCTTGTCAGGTCCGAAGCAGTCCTCTACAAAAGGTGCCAGGCATGTCTCGTGAGCAAAGACGGAGCTGTGACTGTAAACGCATTATAAGAGGTATCAGAGTGCCTGTCAACCCTCCTGTGGAGGAAGAGCCCAGAGTAAGACAAAGTACAGCATCCCCAGGACTACGCTTAGTGCGTTCTGCCAGCCTGGAGTCACGAGGTACCGAGAAGACAAATTTATGTCTGAAGACCTGTGCTACACAGGATGAAACTTCTGTTCATTATACAAAATTGACACAGAGACATGCTGAAGGTGAAAAGAGAGAAGTTTCATCTAATCTTCCTCCTCCCAAGATTCAGAAAAAAGAAAGTGAAAGCACTGTGTTGAAAAACAAAGTGCCAGAAATGTTGAATAGGGAAGACAGAAAAACTCCTGTTATCATTCCACGACAAGAGGAAATATTTTCCATGCAAGCAAAAATACCTGAAGAAGAAGGGGCAGTTTCTGGAGAGAAATGCTGTTCCATACGTCACTGCTTTACATGTCGGAGATGCTCCTCTGCAGAAGACAGCAATGAGAGGGATGAGCTGTCCTATTCCATTCCAATGCAGATCCTGCCAGGCATCAGGCTGAATGCAGAGGTCACCCCAGTAGTAAGTCAAACTCTTCAAGTTCTAGATGCCACAGTTTGTAGTGGCAGTGAAGCTAGTCAAACTCAGGAGATTGACCTCCGAACTGCTACAATTGAGGGTAGCTTGGCAAAAGTTAATGCCTTACGTGGACACTGTTATTCCCTTCCTGATGGATTCATGTCAGTGCAACTTGACACTAGTGAGCTACTTACAGTATTACGCCAGTGCTTAGTTAGCCCTGAAGCAGGAGATCCCAAACTCGATGCTGTTAATCTGAACCAACACAAGCAGGAGCTGACCTTGCGCTTCAAGGAGTTCCGAGCCTCTTGTAGGAGGATGGCTGGAGTAGATAAAAGTCCACAGCACATGCTAACTGCTGTTGCTTGCAGTTTCCAGGTTCTGTGTGGTCTCATTGAGACTTTTGTAAGATTGGTCTTTGTTGTCCGTTCAGACAGTCAACGTCAAGAACTCCTAGGAAAAGTGGAAGAGGTTGTTAGAAATTATACCTTTTTGCTCAGGGCAGCAGAGGAGTCAAGTGTACGGACATCAAGTCAGAGTCGAACTGTGGTGGGTCAGCTAGCCAAGCAGTCAGCCACAGTAGCCACAGCGGTTAGTACTTTCTCCCGTTCCATCAAAACACTTATGAGCAAATAGAGAGAAAAAACATTTAGAAATGACTGGATCGTTATACTTGCTGGAGAGTTTAAAGTATTGTCTTGTCTGCTAAGCCTTTTTGAATCCACAGCCTTCTATTAAAATATATTGGGACTTGGTTAACTTCCAAGACGACGAAGATAAATAATTGCCTATTAAGTGTAAGAGACTGAAATGAACGTAAATGCCTTTTACTGGTGAATATAATTAAATGTGACTAATCTCTTCAAAATGTTAAAGGTGGTAGAGAGATATGAGAAACTGATAGGAAATTACATCGTGTTTATATCTTACCCGTTCCACTGTGACATGCTCTGCTTCTCACTTATTCTCTTCCAGAAAATGAGATTAACGTATCTTAAAAATCTCATGTGAGGAAAGTGAAAGTGTGATTAAACTGGCATGACCCCCTCAAGTCCAGATACCTCTTCATCAAGGTTAATGCAGTAGATTCGCTCTAAACAGTGAATATTACCTGTAGCTAGTTGTATTCCAAGCCTTGTGCAGCTTGACTTTTTTTCAGAAATGTAAGGGAGATATTAACAAAACAGGGGGGGGGGAGGATGAAGCTGTGCACAAGTGAACCTTGCTCCAAACAATTTGGGATTTATCAACTAAACTTTATGTTTTCATCCAAGTTTAAGAAAAAATGTATGTAATGCTCAATTTATGTTAATCATTTCTACCTCACCTGGAGGTATTTGCTGGCTGGAAAAGAAGCATCATAGAGTTGTGTTAATTTGAACAGAGGTCGCCCAAGTATCTCAGATGTTGATTGAGAATTACCTAACAAGCAATCACACAAAACATTAAAAAGTCCTAATGGCTGTACATACTTCCATACAGTATACTAGAATTTAAATTAATAAATAAATTTAAGGTAAGTATGTAGTCCAAAGATCCCACTAAATCAGGAAAGCTTTTGAGTGATGTACAGGGAGAAGGGGTTACAAAAGCAAACATTCCACATTTTTAACCAATGCAGTATACAAGGATTAAATATGTCTACTGGTGTGACCAGAGCCAGCCTCCTTCCTTATACTAATTAATATATTGAAAAGCCCCGAACCCAATAATACTACTAAACAAGATTGGGTATACTCGGTCTGGAATACTAGATGTTCTACCAGTCTGTAATGAGTTTCAAATTGACCAAAGAACCTCCAAAAGAGAGAATACATGGATTCTGTATGACCAGTCCTTAATACTACAATAAAAGAAATAATGAAAAGAAGTCCTTACTCTTACAAATGTATGAGGACAGGAGTATTTTTCCTAACATTTACCTGTAAAATAAATACTTATAATTTAATTACCTTTATAAATGCTTCTGAATATGCAGTGGAAAGTATACACCCCATATGACATAACCCACTTCTTCATAAAAGCGTATCAATTAAACTGTTAATAGCTCCTGACTGATTCCTCTTCTGCAACGGTCATTAGTCTAATACTATACTTACCTTTTTGTGTCATTTTACCCCACTCCCTCTAGCATGTAAGCTCATTGAGCAGGGCCCTCAACCCCTCTGATCCTGTGTGTCCAACTTGTCTGGTTACAACTACATGTCTGTTCGTCCACCCATTGTAAAGCGCTGTGGAATTTGACGGCGCTCTATAAATATCATCATAATAATAATAATGTGAATTGTGAATGGCTGTTTACACTCACAATATCTGATTCTGTCTCATTCTAAAGTAGCGACTGAATGACAGTGGAAATGTCCTGGGAATTGTATGCTATGAACTGTAACATAGGAATATGAATTCCCCTGCACAACTGGGAGACACCTTTTTTCATATCAATTGCATTAAATTACTTTTTTTAAATTTTATTTGCAGCTGGGTTTGCATGTTTGTGTATGTGTTGGTTTAGATGCAACAGTGCCCCTCTACACATTTTAATTATTATTTGTATAGAGCTATATGCATAATAAAATGTCACTGAAAAAATTATTACTGCAATTAAAAGAAAAGGGGATGGATAGACTAACTGCTACATGGTAAAATTCTGAGTAGCAATGACTACTTTTTTGGAATATTTTAGAGGGTCACTCTAAAAAAATTTGCATCATGACAAAGGGTAGGTATAATGCAGAATGCCCTCTGCTCCCTGTACAAACATGTATTCCTAAGGCTGTAGCTTGCACATTGTGCAGCACTGCCCCAGGAAGCACCTCAAGTAGCCATATGAGGAGCGGTCAGTGGCGTTATCACTAGGTTGTAATGTAAACACTGCATATTCTCTGAAAATACTGTGTTTACTGCAAAAAATTCCTGTAGGGAATTATTATTATACTCACCAGAATAAATACAATATGCTGTCTGGCATGTTCTCTCATCTTCAAAAGGGAGAAAGGTGAAGCAACTTGGAGCTAGTATAGATGAGCCAGTAATACACATTCTGAATCTATATAGATCACATTTTATGTATAAGAAAGTGTAAACATTTTTGCTTCTCAATGTTAGAGCATTTTATCTGATAACAGATGCAATAAAAATTAATAGATAAATTAATGAACCATACATCGAAGATGTACACATAACTACACATATACTATATTTTATATATATATATATATATATATATATATATATATATATATATATATATATATATACTTTTCCCATAGAGATGCATTGATCCAGCGTTTTGCCGCGCGTGGGCATTAACCTGCTAATGTTTTGCTATGGGAAAGCATTGGATTGGCTGAGATCATCAGTTTATTAGAAGAATCTAAATAAAAATAAAATCTAAATAAATGTAAAAAAAAAAAAAAAGATTTGGTGTGACCACCCTTTGCCTTTAAAACAGTATAAATTATTTTTGGTACACTTGCACACAGTTTTGTAAGTAACTTCAGGGGCAGATTGAACCACAGCTCTTCTGTGGATTTAGGTAGCCTCAGTGCGATTTTTTTTTTTTATTTTTTTTTTTTAACGCGCCAGCTGCCATTTTTCGGCACCCTAGTTCCTGTGTTTCATGTACTGTTGAGCTGCCTTGTTTCCATGTTGGAGGTATGACTTTTTGACCACATGTCTTCCATGAAGACCACTTCTGACTAGATTTCTCCAAGTTGTAGATGTGTGTACAAAGGTCCCACCATTTTCTGCCAATTCTTAGTTGATGGCTCTACTGGACATCTTTCAATTTCGAAGGAAAGTAAGCATGATAATTATTTTATCTGCTGCACTCAATGTCCACTATGGCCCTGAGCATTGCCCATTTGTTTGTGTTTCTTTAGAACAGTTTTTACAACACATCTGGAAATCACCATCTGCCTTGAAATTGCTGCCTTCGACAGACCTTGATGATGCTGTATAGTTACCTTGTGCCTTGTTGCTGTGCTCAGTCTTGCCATAGCGTATAACTTTTGACATTAAACTGTCTTTGGCAACCTCACCTTGTTAGCACAGTTTGGCTGATTCTCACCCAGTTTTATTCATCCAACACAGCTGTTTCAGTTTCACTTAATGATTTTGTTTCAACCTACTTTGAATTGATCATTAGCACCTGTTTAGTATATTTTAATAATTCCCCTGACTATTGGCCTTGATTTAATAAGCTTTCCACATGATTTTGATAAGCTTTTAAAATATATGTTTTGATATGTTGAAAATAAATTTAAAAAAATCAAAATATTACAAAATTTTAATATTCATAATAATAACTTTAAAAGTTTATTCAAAAATATTAAATCATTTGGAACGCTTATCAAACAATATTAAATTGAGGCCGGTCCACCTATAAAATCCCTAACTTTATGCTAGTGTACCTAGACGAATCGATGCTGTTTTGAAGTCAGTGGGTTGTCACACCAAAAATTGCTTTAACCCCTTAAGGACACAACTTCTGGAATAAAAGGGAATCATGATGGAATATTACCGTCATGTGTCGTTAAGGGGTTAAACTAGATTATTCTTCTGTTCACTCACTTTGCATTTTCATAATTGATCAAAATAAAATATCAACATTTCTATTTTTGAAAGCAGTCTTACTTTACATCATTTTATTAACAACTGCTTACAACCTTTGCACAGTGTTATACTGTTATGCTACATTACCATCATATTGCCCATGCTACCCTCACATTGCAGCTACATTGCCTCTGGACACATAAACTGACACACATACAGGGCATTTACACACTGAGGAAGGGACTTCTGAAATGCTTGGGTTTCGTATACTCTGTGAATAAATGTGTGGTTCCACGAGCGGGCCTTATCTACTAAGCTGCACATTGTGTTACCTCCTGTTTTTGCTAATACATACACCATACATAGTAACACACACTGATACACAGGCACATATACAAGTCTTAGCACACAAACACACATACACTGACACACAAATAAATCCACACGTTTTTGCCTTTTTTTGTCCCCCTCCCACCCTGTGTGTATCACTGTGCACAACTCCTTGAGAAAACTGCTTTCTTACTGTAGTGTTGTGGTTAGGTGGACTTGCAAAAGCAGCATTATGACTAAGTTTTAGCAATGGGTAAATGTCAACTGAGAGGAATTGTTTGTGGACAACCCCTCACAGGATTTAATTTTTTTCTCCTGACTTCTGCTAGTCCTCTGGTCTAAAACGTTACGGATGGTGTTATAAAGGGGTCTGGCTTAGCACTGGGACCTATGACACTGAAATCCTGTTGGCAAAATATTTCCTATAACCAGACCGCATTGCAGACGTAGCAAAGGAGGCCCCTTACAGAGATGTATTGATAGTCTCCAGCACACTCCTGGATGTAATGAAAACATGTAGGAGTGTCATCCTGCTTTAGTATCTGTGTATGTGCTTGAAATTGTGTGTGTATATGTCTTTCTGGCAATGTGTATCTGGCAAGATACGCCTGTGTGTTTCTGTTTGTGTGTATACTTATCCTTGACGGTGTCTGGAATGCATTTTTTTGTATGTGTGTTTATTTTAATGTCTGGGAGTGTGTTTTAGGGGACATGGCCAGGAAGTTTGTAACAGAATAATAGTTTTGATGGCTGTCCTGCTTGTTTGAAAAAAAAAAAAAAATGAAATTCATGCTTGATATGAAATTTATTCCCCTTACACTCCTGCACAGAGCCTGGAGCTGCACTGACATATCAGGTCTTGCTGTGCTACACTAAATGAGTGACAGTGGGTAAAACAAGGTGATCTGTCCTTTCCCCTCCTAAGCCTTTGTGGATAATTTGCAAGGTAAATTACACTTGCAGTTGTCAAAATTGTATTTTATTATTTTAGAGTGTAGGAGCATATCATGGATAAATGATTTTGGTAATGAAGGGATTAACCGAACTAAGTTTATTTCTAGGAATGGAATCCATAGATATCCTACGACTTATTTTGCATCCACCTAAAACAAATGTTTCTACAAAATGTTTTTAATGAGGTTTATCAGGACCCTTATTACAGCTATTGATACAATACTGTAAATGTTCTAGATGAGGACCATGCACATCAAGAAACTGTAAGGAAGCACCTCTAGTGGCCCAAACATAGACTTAGACTGTATGATAGAGCCAACTATAGTCATTCATTATTGCAGCAGTGAGGGCTCAGATTTATGTAAAATTAACATATTTACTAAGCAATGAATAGTGATGCTGCTAACCAACCAATAATATTAATAGCATATATCCAAATTATACAGTTATAGCAATGTCCTTTACATTTTTTTTACTGTTTTGTTTACTTGGGTAAAATTAGCAAAACCTTTACTAATAAGAAGGGATTTTCTCCCCCAATATCTCTACTGTGGTATAGATTTTGAAAGTTGTTACTCAGTGCCTTAGCTCTCCTCTACTCTTTGCATGTAAAGATACTGTGTATTTTACTGCAAAACCAGTTAGACAAATCTGCTCAATGACAAATCTGCTGTTCTGATGGACATGTTTATTTCAGCTATTGAGTGTGAAGAAAAAAAAGAAAAAACACAATAAATGAAGCTAGTTTGTCACAAATTTCGGCACTCCAGATGTTTTTGTAATGCTCTTGTAGCCATCATGCTAGCAAATCATCATGGAAGATGTAGTTCAGAACATATGGAATGCCGATGGTTGCCTACCCCTGCTCTAGGTACACTGTGATAATTTACTTCTAAAATGGCACTTTTAAAAGGAAGCATTGTAACAAGTATTACCCTAGCAATAAACAGTAAAAATATTTTCTTTCAGCAATTCTTGCATAATGGATCAAAAGGCAATTTCACTTTATTTGGTTCAATGTAGATCAATATAAATTAGCTATATTGGACAGTAAGGGGATTTTGGGGAAAATATGATGTGAAAGGGAATATGTGGAGACAATATATACACTGTGACAAAAACAATATTTCTGCTTATTTATATAGTCAATTATGGTTGCCGCCCCTTTGAAGAATGAAATATTGCTTGCATTGTAGTTAAAGTTTTAAAAGCTGGATATCAACCTCTTTTTAGTTAACAGTGTGCAAAAAAAAAAGCATTGTTAAAAATACTTTTAAGGCGAATCTTCTGTATTAACCTGCATTTTGCAAATATAATTCTGTTTTTAAATAATATACAGACTTTGATATAGCTAAATGCAAAATTGTATTGGGTGGACCTTTTATGTACATTGAATGTATAAAACAAGATACATATAAATATCAATATATATATAAATATACATATATAGATATATATTTCACTTATCTAGAAATTTTAATCCTTGTTCTACCAACAGGAAAAAAATATTATTAAAATGTGTCAATCTATTATCCAAAATGTGTTCTGTTTTTTACTGTGAGAAGCAATTAACAATTGTATTGCCTCGTATCCAACACCATCTACACTGTAGAACTTCAACAGGATTATTTACTAAAGTGAGAATTCAAGGTAAATTTCCAAATTTAGTTCAGTGTAGCTGAATTATAAGCCTAGCTGACTGTTTTATCTTTTTGACCTTAAAGGGATACTAAAGTCAGTAAAATGACTTTAGCTTAAGTAGTTTTGGTGTATAGATCATGTTTCTGCAGTCTCACTGCTTAATTTTATGCCTTTTAGCAGATAACTCACATTGTTTATGCAACCCAAGCTACACCTCAATGCTTGTAACTGTACATTCTTCCTGAAAACTTCCTGTAAAGTGAGATCTAATGTTTACACTTCATTTATTGCACAGTCTTATCTCCTGCTCTGTTAATAGCTTGCTAGACCTTGCAGGAACCTACTGTGTGTATTTAAAGATACATTTACAAAGCAGGAGATAAAAACATCTAGTGAAAGTGAAAAGAATAGTGGTAGCAATGATTCTTCCAGGAGTCATAACAGGACTTTCATAATGGATCATAATTCTATTCAGCTTGTGATAGTTGTTTAGAATAAAACACACATGATAACAGTTTCGACTCCTTCAAAAGCAACCATTCCAATACTAAAGGAAGCAAATGATCCAAATGTCTGAGAAGAGTAGCAGAGGCCAAGGCAACCTTTAATTTCTCAAAAGCATCAAATAGTTTCTGGTGGCCATAATTTGATCAGTTTTTGATGAGACTGGTATTGGAGGGCTATCACAGAAGAAAAGACTTTGATATATTTTCTGACAGTTAGCAAAGCCTATAAAACGTTGAAGAGGTTTCAATCCTTGAGGTAACGGCCACTCTAAAACAACTGACGATTTCTTAGGATCCATTTTGAACCCAGAATCAGATACCGTGTTTCTCCGAAAATAAGACCGGGTCTTATATTAATTTTAGTCACAAAAAACACACTAGGGCTTATTTTCAGGGTAGGGCTTAGAGCCAGTCTGTCAGCCGGTGTCCGCGCTGTGTAACCCCCCTAGAGACCCTCACCTCCCCCTCCCTGTAATATTCTCCCCTCCCTCCCTGTAATATTATCCCCCCTCCCTCCCTCCCTCCCTGTAATATTATCTCCCCCGTCCCTGTAATATTATCTCCCCCTCCCTCCCTCCCTGTAATATTATCCCCTCCCTACCTGTAATATTATCTCCTCCCTCCCTGTAATATTATCTCCTCCCTCCCTGTAATATTCTCCACTCCCTCCCTGTAATATTCTCCACTCCCTCCCTGTAATATTCTCCACTCCCTCCCTGTAATACTCTCCCCCTCCCTCCCAGTAATA